AAAGTTCTACACACTTGCACATTCATGGAAGGACACTCTACAGAACATGCCCTCTGCAAATGCTATCTTGGGGCTTGTGCAGCTCGTATGCCTAGGTTTCTTTAGTAGAACTAGCTCGCTGCAGAGATCGATGACCGTTGCAGCAGTAGGGCTAAAACTGTACAAGAAAGACACAACGAAAGGCTTACGTGATTGAGGTTGCAGGAAGGAACCCACAGGTCAGACGAGGAGGATACAGCGTGTGTGACTGACGAATGCAAGAAACCACAAATGTGCCATTGATCCAAAAGTCACCTTTTGCAAGGTGTATTTGAATCAACTCACAGTTACAAACTGGATGATGCTAGCAGGATGTCCCAGTAAAGCTGGGAGGTAGAAAGAAGGCAGTTGTAAGCAATGTGCAAGGAGAGCTATAGCATTCAGGCTGTGGTAAACGGGGATATGTTGTGCTACTCACAGGGATGTCAGATTGACAAGGCTGCCCAGACTAGCAGGTATGGGGCCACTCAAGTTGTTGCCTCCAAGGCCCCTGCCATGTGATAGTGTACCATGCCACCATGTGCATGCCATGCCACCACCAGCCATGCCACCATGTGCATGCCATGCCACCAGCCATGCCACCATGTGCATGCCATGCCACCAGCCATGCCACCATGTTCATGCCATGCCACCAGCCATGCCACCATGTGCATGCCATGCCACCATGTGCATGCCATGTTACCATGTGCATGCCATGCCACCATGTGCATGCCATGCCACCAGCCGTGCCACCATGTGCATGCCAATAAAGAGGGTGCATCAGCATGTTGCAGTGATGGTTGTGAAACAATGTAGCCACAATGTAGCATGCACTCGCAAACCACTTCGCAGCAGCAGTCAGTTTCACAATGCTGCCTTTGTTTGGCCAGTGCATGGAATGATTTTTTTCATTTCGAAGCACCCATGCTTCAAGGAAAGGTAATGCCTCTTCTCAAGGCACACCACTCGAGCCTTGTCACCTGCTTCACAACAGCACGCCTGCCTTGTTCTCACGGGGGCTGCATGCGGCTCACAGGTGCTGCAGTGTTGCAAAGCAGGTGATGGAGCCAGGGAGGGAGCCACTGAGCTGGTTGTCGCTCACATCGCTGGGGATTGAGTGGGGTGGGGCATGGTAGTGGTGAGTGGGTGGTTGAGGTAGGATGGAGGAGGGGAGATGGTGGGCGGGAGAAGAGACGAAGGGATGAAGGTTACATGCGGACTGCAGGCATTTGTTCGGTAGTTACGATGTGTCTTATTGAAATGTGTGCAATAATTACATGTGATGAAAGCAAGAGGTACGTGAAGCGCACAAGAGGAACAAGAGGCAAGGAAGAAAAGAGACAAGGTGCTAATCTCACAGCACATGCGGTTTCCCATGAAGCAAAGTTGGGGAGAGGGCCAGAGAAGGCATTGCCTTGCAGCTCATTGCAACAAGGCATGGGTTCCACGGGATAGGGACAGGAGGGTGATTATCTTAGCAACGTCTAAAACACGGAATGGTCACGGTTGCATATGTAGACAAAAGCGCTGCTCTAATTTTGACTAGAATAAAAAAGCAACAAGGCGACACCTCGTTTAGCACATGCACCTTTGCTGTTCCACGAGACAGCTTCATCAAGGCACACTCACAGATCAACGAGCTGAAGGGATAAGGGGGCAGCAGGAAGAGATCCATGCAGCTGGTTGTGAGCCATGGAGCTGGAACAAAGATGGCATGGGTGTGGTTGGAAGAAAGGAAAAGATGGTATCATGCATCGGACGAAACGTGCTACAGTGAGGAGTGAGCCTTTGAGGGGAACCATAGCATGTCGAATGCACACGTGGACCCCATAATTATCCACTTCTTCTGCATGCACCATCCCTCCCATGGGCAGGTGTTTGCACACCAATCTACTTGCACAGTGGCAAAAAGGGTAGCTTGAAAAGTACAGCACAACCTGGCACCACATGAAACGGACACAAACACCTCAGATCAGACTTTGTGACATGGCCACTCCAAAAACACTCATAACCAACGGTGGGCCCACTCAAGCACGTTTGCTGGTCCTACAAATATCCACTTTTCCTTTCTAGCTCTGCTTGCTTCTCTCACTTTGTCCATGTATGCTCCCTAGCATTTTGCAGCAAGCTAGTAAGACACCATTTCTCCAAGGCACAGCGTTAATTCATTCACTCACAGGGACATGAGGCACTCACAGGGACGTGAGGCAACACAGAGACCAAATGCCGCGAGGAACAACGCCAAAGAAGGGGTTGTAGGAAATGTCGCTGTCGCATAGGCGAACAGGATTGGAGTGGATAGGACGAGTGGTACAGCTGTTAGCAAAGGATAGGACATTGGCTCCGGAACAATGAAGCACCAAGTCAGTTGCATCAACAAAGGATGTGGATAGACCAGCTTACAATGTTTGGAAGTCATATGTGAAAGATATTGTGCCAGGTAATTTTGGTGGAAGAGGTCCCGTGAAGTTGTTGTGTGAGAGGTTGCTCCACGCAATGAAGGGTGTGACTTGTATGCAATGAAGAGAGTGGAGTGAATGCAAAAGTAAACATGGCATTGCAATATGGAGGCACAGATGCATCATAGGGAAAGAAGACGACCGTGGTACATTATCAGATCATGAACGTATTACATGTATGAAGTTTCACTGCCCTTGTTCAAGAGAACGGAGGGGAAGGGTCCAGAGAAGCTGTTGTTAGACACATCACTGTGGAGGAGGCAGGGAAGTTAGGGAAAGTGGACAACGAAGCTTGGAGAAGGTGAGGAGCGATTGGTGGGAGGATAGCAGGGAGGAAGGAATGAAGCGATCGGTGACGAGGGCAGAGAAAGTAGAAATAACAGGATATGACTGAGCAAGCCACACAAGAAAGTTGTGGATTCATAAACCACTTCAACAGACCAGACTCTGCTTCACAGATTTCATAAGTGACTAGTGTTCCTAGGCTCATCATACACATGAGAGAACCTTCATAATAACCTGGTCTACTGATGGCTCTTAAATCAGGTGATGCAATGCAACAAAAATACATGGAAAAGAGAACACTAGTTCATACGTTGATGTTTCAAACCATGGAGCCTTAAACAACTCTTGCTGAGACTGATGAACCGTTTGACAATATAGAGCAGTTAACAGTCCCTTTGAGAATTCTCAAAAGTCCATGAGAAACGTACAGAACTCGGAGCACTCTGCCGGGATAGGAATGGAAAGGGCTTGAGAAGTTGCATGATCCGACATACCTAAGGAGCGGTGAATGCGAAGACGAGTGGGAAAGTGGGTAACGAAGGTAGTGAGAGGTGGCTAGAAGGTTCAAGAGAGAAGAAGATATTTCGTGATGAGGCAAATGACATGAAAGGGAGAGAGCCTTGACAAGATAACAAGACTATAATGTTTCATAAATATATATAAATATATAAATATATATATGTATAACATATGGAAACAACTTCAATCTACATAACACACAACATCAAAAGATTCTGTCCCTCCTTACAGTGATACAAGAGATGGGGACTTCTTGATAAGCGTATCCAAGCCTTAAGTCTGAGGATTGTGGCTGAGGTCTCTGTGGAGGGTATGGGAGATGGTTAGCAAGGCACACACGCACTGGTGATGAGGGTGGGGGTTGAGAGAACAAGGCATACAGTGGATGGATGGATGGAATGAGGGCAGGACGGGCCTGGTCGAGGTTGTTACTGCAACCCGTTGGCTGCTCCGCACATGTTTTTGCACTTGTAATGGGTGTGGGCAAGTGTGAGCCAAACATAGACAGTGAGAGGAAATAGGTGTGCGAGAGAGAGGGAATGTAGTTAGAAAAAACTATAGAGACATTGAGCAGCATATTGCGATGCGGACATGAGGGAGGGTCCGCAGCAGCTTAGTAAAGGACCAGCTGCAGGTGCTGACACTCCGCAGCACCCACCGCCAGTGTCCCAGCGTCTCCAAGGGGATTGGCGCCTCGGATGGAAGCACCACGTGGAATCCCCTCACATACCACTCTCGGTCTGAGTGCTGGCATGGCATGGCATGGCACGGCATGGCATGGCATGGCATGGCGTGGCGTGGCATGGCGTGGCGTGGCGTGGCGTGGCGTGGCATGGCATGGCATGGCATGGCATGGCGTGGCGTGGCGTGGCGTGGCGTGGCATGGCATGGCATGGTATGGCATGGCATGGCGTGGCGTGGCGTGGCATGGCATGGCATCGCATGGCATCGCATGGCATGGCATGACATGGCATGGAATGGCATGGCATGGCATGGCATGGCACCTTTGTGCTCTGCCAAGCAGCCAAAACGTGACGGTGATATGTGTGAGGGAGGGGTGCTTGGCTAACACTGGCGCCTGTCGAAGCAGACATGTCAAGGCAGGAAACGGACCCTTCACTTGCAGACATATCAAGGCAGACTTGGAGGTGGTGGCACAACTCACAGTGATTGGATGTTATTCGCAGGCAAGGATCCCTGCAGGTCGTTGTAGCTCAGATTGCTGAACACAATCAGAAGTTCAGGTTGTTAAAGATAGATGCATTTTGACATCAGCATGCGAACGATAGCATGCCATATCACGTGATGTAAGGCACAACATGATGGAACACAAGGAAGACATGAGCGTGTGTTGAGGCAAGAAGAGTCAGACCCCAATCATGACTAGAATTGAGCTCATGTGAGTTATAAACGACTCAAGACACATGAAACCGAATCGAGCAGCTGACTCAAGCAAGTGAATCGAATCATTTGAGTCACGTCTGGTGGCGTTGAGGGTGTGGGGTCCTTGTGAGCAGATGGGGCCAGTGAAGGTGATATCATTGAACTGAGGCAATCTCACCAGTATTTGGCGGGCGGTGAATGGGGATAGGAAGCGTTATACTAGCGAGCGAGTAAATCTCTGTGCGGCCCCTTCCCTCCTTTCTTACTCCAACGCTTTCCCCCCAACTCCCTCCCACTCTCTCGCTCGCGTTCATGAGAGCTCAATCCATACAGGACTCACAGGGATGCAAGGGCAGGTGAAATTGCAGTTGGCATGTTGGTGAGGTGATTGTGGGAGAGGTCTCTGCATGCAGTGGGGGCAGGCGGAGGGAGGGGACGTGGAGGGGAGGGGATGTGGAAGGGAGGGGATGTGGAGGGGAGGAGGAGAATCTTTGTACAGGGCAGCTGAGATATGAGTGAGAATTGAGAATGCCTCAGTGCCACATGCCAGTGGGGTTTGCGGTTCGGAAGAGCTCCAATTGGTGTTTGCAAAGAATGCATGGAAAGGACCTCTCCAGAACGTGCTAAAGCGAGGCGATAATACAATTCACGCCCAGCTTAAGCTATCAGAAAAAACAACGGAACAGAATGGTTCACCGCCTAACCAAAACCCAAACCGAAGCAGCAGGAGCATCTGAAGGGATGTCAGCAAAAACTTGCCACTAGAGGAAAATCCATATGTAGGGTATGTTCACAGAAGACTCCCCATCTGAATCTGTTCGGTCGAGACTTGGCATGCAAAGCGTCACTTTGCGATGCGAGGCAGGCCTTGGAGACTCACAAGGTTTGCAGGGGTGCACGAGTGGCAGGAACGGCACCAGTGAGATTGTTGGACGAGAGGCCCCTGGGGTTTGTGGAGGCACGCACACGTTAAGAGAGGCCAATGGAAGGATGTGTGTTTGTTATGAACAGTACAACGCAGTGACTCGGTACACTGGAGTCATTCCGTTTGAGGAAGAGGATTTGTACAGTCCAGTACGGGTATTGGCTTCGAATGGTCCGTACTATCGACGAAGCCTATCCCTGAACGGCTGGAAAAAGACTTGTACTATGTCACACCAATTCATTCGACGCAGATGGAAAGCTGAATCGTGGTCTCATGCTCATTCAAATCACATGCAATAAAGCGGAGGTATAAATGCTACCGAAAGGGAAGGCGTATAGGAAAACTGAGTCGAAAGGGAACGAGGCCGGGGTTCATTGCAGATTTTGACGTGGTGAGTTACCAGAGGGCAGGATGTAAAGGCGAGAGAGGTTGAGGATGCCATCAGGAATGCTTCCTTAGATGTTGTTCAAATCGAGCTCCCTAATACACCCATTGCAATGCAAGGAGGTGGGAGAGTTTGTGAGACATGACTACAGGATAAACCATATTCACAGGATGAAAAACCTTTACAGGTGATCTCCTTTCCATATTAGTCCTTATAGGCGGATTTAGTGAAAGGAAAGCAATATCCTTTCCATGTTGGCCCTCACAACCTCATCCTGTTGCGTCTTGTCTTCCATTGTTCTCGTCTTCCCTTTTCTACAGCTCCTTCATCTCCAAGGGGAATATCGTGGAAGGAGAAGCAAGTAAGTGTAGAGTGGGTGGGAATGGGGGCATACAGGTCAGTGAGGGCGGTGAGAGCGGAGATGGTGGAGGGGATAGAGCCAGTGAAGCCATTCAGACCGGCCCGCCTGCAGGTGCCGCGAGAGGAGGGGAGGTGCGAGAGGAGGGGAGGTGCGAGAGGAGGGGAGGGGCGAGAGGAAGGGAGGTGCGAGAGGAGGGGAGGAGCGAGAGGAAGGAGGGGAGGGCGCACCGGTGGGTGTTGGGCCAGGAAGTGGGCACTGGGCAGAGGAGAGTGGGCCACTGGGCAACGTGCAGAGAATAGAATGGTGGGAGAAAGCACAGGTGGCTGGTTGAAAATGAAAGAGATGAAGGATTGTGAACGGTCGCTTGGGAATCTCAAGCCAAAACGGTGTGCTCTAGTGCGGTGGATGGCTCACAGAGTATCCAGCCCTGTGAGCGCCATCCACTCGGTGGGAAACGGTGCAGAGCGGTGGACGTTAAAGTTGCCGGTGACATCCCTGCGGGGCGGTCAAGCACAGAAGGGTGGGGAAGGCACAGGACGCTCCAATTGGTTGAGAGGCAAGGCAGGCAGGGGAGCAGTGCAAGTGGCATCAACATACATCTCGACTCGATCCCTCTAGCCATCGTGCATAGCCCTGGCCTGCCATGGTCCATGCGTGGCATAGGCCAAAGCAGCATGGCACAGAGCAGCAGGGGGAATGCCAAGGTGGTAAAAACTAGGTTGGGGAGCAGCTCTGAACAGGTGATAGCAGGCAGTGGAAAGAAAGGCTCTGGCAGTGAGCAAGGCGACCAGAGAGTGAGTTCGCACGTAGCAAGACTGTAGCAAGTGACAAGTCACAGGTGGTGCAGGGAGGGAGAGGAGATGGAACTTACAGAGAGAGGACGTGCGCTGGCCTGCAGTATCCCAAGTGAAGCACGGGCAAGGTGCAACAGGAAGCGCTGATGAGATGATGATCGGAAGTGTGGGTAGGGTGGGGTGAGGAGCATGTGGTGGCACGCAATCACAATGTGGAAAGGTTGGGGAGCGACGCAATCCATTGCGGCGTGCTGGTGATGGAAAGGAACTTTATGTCACTGTGACAGAGTGGAAGAAAGAGAGGGGAGAGAGAGGGTGAGCGCACAGGCAAGACCCTCCTGACCCCTGCCAGTACAAGCATGGGGATGACTTATTACTGGCGGCGACTGATATTCGGGGCTTGTTAGAGGTGGTAACAATAGCACATGCATCCTATTCCACAACATGTGGGCCGTTGAACGAGAGACGTGTTTGCTCCTATTTGGGAAAGAGAATTTCGCTGATTTTGATCCCTTCGTATTGTTAAATTAATGAGATGCAATGACACAACGAACAAGCACAATCACCCTCCCCAAGAGCTAACCAACAGCAAGTCAATAATGACATCAACACAATGGTTGTGAGTGAAGAAAACGAAAGGGACTTACAGGGTTGTGAGTGAAGAAAACGAAAGGGACTTACAGGGTTGTGAGTGAAGTAAAAATGGCATGCTCTCAAGAAAACGAAAGGGACTTACAGGGTTGTGAGTTAAGTACAAATGGCATGCTCTCAAGAAAACGAAAGGGACTTACAGGGTTGTGAGTGAAGTAAAAATGGCATGCTCTCAAGAAAACACGTCTCTCGTTCAATAGCACATGCATCCTATTCCACAACATGTGGGCCGTTGAACGAGAGACGTGTTTGCTCCTATTTGGGAAAGAGATTTTCGCTGATTTTGATCCCGTCGTATTGTTAAATTAATGAGATGCAATGACACAACGAACAAGCACAATCACCCTCCCCAAGAGCTAACCAACAGCAAGTCAATAATGACATCAACACAATGGTTGTGAGTGAAGAAAACGAAAGGGACTTACAGGGTTGTGAGTGAAGAAAACGAAAGGGACTTACAGGGTAACAATAGCACATGCTATGGTGGTAACAATAGCACATGCATCCTATTCCACAACATGTGGGCCATTGAACGAGAGACGTGTTTGCTCCTATTTGGGAAAGAGATTTTCGCTGATTTTGATCCCGTCGTATTGTTAAATTAATGAGATGCAATGACACAACGAACAAGCACAATCACCCTCCCCAAGAGCTAACCAACAGCAAGTCAATAATGACATCAACACAATGGTTGTGAGTGAAGAAAACGAAAGGGACTTACAGGGTTGTGAGTGAAGAAAACGAAAGGGACTTACAGGGTTGTGAGTGAAGTAAAAATGGCATGCTCTCAAGAAAACGAAAGGGACTTACAGGGTTGTGAGTTAAGTACAAATGGCATGCTCTCAAGAGAACAAAAGGGACTTACAGGGTTGTGAGTGAAGTAAAAATGGCATGCTCTCAAGAAAACGAAAAGGGGTTACAGGGTTGTGAGTGAAGAAAGGGCAGAGAGAGAGGAAGGCAGCTCTCCAGCCGTGAGGTTGAGAGTCGTGAGAGTGCTGAGGGGAAGTGGGTGTGACAGACAGAGAGGCATGAGTGAGAGGGGAGGGGAAGGCGGGCAGGGATGAGAGAGAAGGCAGGAGAAGGCGGGCAGGGATGAGAGAGAAGGCAGGAGAAGGCGGGCAGGGATGAGAGAGAAGGTAGGAGAAGGCGGGCAGGAATAAGTGAGAGGGGAGGGGGAGAGGGCCGTACAGGTGGCGGAGGCGAGTGAGCAGGGCGAGGCAGGAGAGGTCTGCCATGGGGCCTTGCAGCACAGGGGCGCTCATGGTAGCCATGATGGAGAGCATGCTGCGAGGAACAGCCAGGGCAGAGAGTGAAAAGGGAGGAGGAGCATGATTCGCTTACTGTGGATTGCGTTTGCTTGCACACGCACGGGGTGAAAGAACATGACAACAGGAGGAGTCGCAGCAGGTTAGAGTGCAGAAGCCCACACACACAGCTTCTGGAACTCACGGCTTTCACCAACTGGCAGCACACACACACACACACACACACACACAGTAGCCTCTTATGTAGCTTCTGTAACCATGTGCCATTGGCATATTCTTGTGACACCTGCATGGCCATTCAAAAACAGCATGCAGTAACAGCATCACAAAAATCCTGCGTCCAGAAAACATCTGGAAAGAGTTGCTTTAAAGCTTTGTTGAATGATTTATTAACGTCTTGTTTGGTACGCTATTTTGAGAAAGTATAGACCTTTTTCTGGATGCTTTGTCGAACGCTGTTCGCATGCTTCTGCGATGCTTCTCTGTTCAAACCTCTCAGGTGAAAACCTTCAGCAGAAGTTTGGTTGGAGTTTCCGCAGAGCAATTTCGGAGATTGGATCTCATTGCATTGTACTCTTCAAGGACATCCGGTTTAGTTATAATGAAGTTGGATTGGAGACTTGCAATGGTTAACATGTTGTTTAACAAGATGTTTAGTTGCCTCATCCTAGCATCCAAAATGACCATTACAGAAGCGTTGGTAAATGGGTTTTATTCTCAACAAAAAAGGCACATACAACAGCATCCTACACCCCACCCTCTCTAGTCAAAGACCCCCGCCAGTTAGGGTGATCTGCATCAACCTGCTTCTCATGCTCCCGTACACTATGTCTCCCACTACACCCCATGTCTCGTGCTCTAGGCCGAGCATGCTCGCCCCTACACCTAGCCCCCATGATCCATGCCTTGGCTGCGACCCCACTTCCTGCCTCTCTTCCTGCATCTCCCATCCCTCCTTCACTAATTGTGGTACTATTGCCCTGCCCATGCGTCCACTGCTTCCTCGCATGTCCAGCCCTGTCATGCGTCTGCTGCTCCGCCTTAGACATCCTCCAGTCAAGCCTTTACTGCTGCTTGCTTTGTCCTATCCGGTCATGCCTATACTGCTGCGGCCCTTGCACCACTCCCCTCCGTAATGCTGACCCCCTTTCTCTATCCACACGTGCCTTCCCTGATGCCCCCCTTGCTGTCTCCACCAATGCCTCTCCTCGCACGTATGTGATGCCTCTCCTGCTGTCCCCTTTTGCAAACTCCACGCATGCCTCATCTGCAGCCCCCCTTGTCTCGTCACACCATCATTTGGCCCTCTTGCCTCCCCTTCTTTTGCCATTTTCGTGCCTTTTGCCCTTCCTCCGCTCCTGGCCCCCCTGCTTCTCATCCTCATCCTCATCCTCTTCCTCCTCTTTCTCCTCTTCCTCCTCTTCCTCCTCTTCCACTTCCCTCCAACTTCCCTTGCCTCTGCCTCTCTTGTGCTTTCTACCCTTCCTCCGTGACTGCCCCCCCTGTTTCTCATCCTCCTGCTCCTCCTCTTCCTCATCTTCCTCCACTTCCTCTTCCCTCCTGCTTCCCTGCCCTCTGCCTCTCTTGTGCTTCCTGCCCTTCCTCCGCTCCTGCCCCCCCTATTTCTTATCCCCCAGCTCCTCTTCCTTCTCCTCTTCCTCGTCCGCTTCCCTCCTGCCTCCCCTGGTTTTCCCTCCCTTGTGCCTTCTGCCCTTCCTAAGCTCTTGCCCCCCCCGTTTCTCATCCTCTTCCTCATCCCTCCCGCCTGCCCTAGGTCTCTTGTGCCTTTTCCTCTTCCTCCGCTCCTGCCCCCACTGTTCCTCGTCCTCCTCCTCCTCCTCCTCCTCCTCCTCCTCCTCCTCCTCCTCCTCCTCCTCCTCCTCCTCCTCCTCGTCCTCCTCCTCGTCCTCCTCCTCGTCATCCTCCTCCTCCTCCTCCTCCTCCTCCTCCTCCTCCTCCTCCTCCTCCTCCTCCTCCTCCTCCTCCTCCTCCTCATCCTCCTCCTTCTTATCCTCCTCCATGTCCTCCGAGTCGTACACCTCCTTTTCTTCCTCCTTCAGGTCCTTCGTTTCGGCATCAAGCTCAGCCTTCCCCCGGAAGGCCTCAAATCCTGACTCGTGAACATACAGCCCACGGTCGCCCCACTTGAACCCCAGGCCTAGCACCCCGAGGCTCAGCACCCGCAGGCTCAGCACCACCTGACTCAGCACCCCCTGGCTCTGCACGCTCAGGCTCAACACCCCTAGACCTGGCACCCGTAGGCTCAGCACCCGTAGCAGCACCAAAGACAACAGCTACCTCGACAGGCTCGACTGCGTCTACCTAGAACACACCCGACGGGGCAGGACCCTAAGGGGGGAGGGGGTCTACCGGGGGAGGACCTAGCGCGAGGAAGAACGGCGGGGGGGGGGGAGGGGGGCAGTGCAGTAGGGGAAGAGACGGTAGTAAGGAACCGACTCGTCAAACGTGACGTCCTGAGAGGACAGAAGACGGCGCGAGGTGGGGTGGTAAAACTGCCAACCAGGCGCGTCAGGGGGGAAGCCGAGGAAGACGTAGGGAACAGCACAGGAGGACAGCTTGTCCGCAGACAAATCGCGGACAAAAGCTCGAGATCCCCAGACACGGAACGCAGACGCATCGCCAACCTTCCCCGTCCACCGCAGAGCGGGTGTGGTCTCCGCCCTGGAGACCTGGGGCTGGGGTTTGAGCTGATGCGCAGCGTACTGAACCGCGAATGGCCACAGAAAATGGGGAGCAAGCGCATGGATCATGGACGTACGAGCGGCGTCCATGACCATGCCAATGCGGCGCTCAGCAATCCCATTTTGCTATGGATAGGCCGGAAGCATGAACGTCTTGCGGATGCCCTCCGCAGGACAGAAGGCCCTCAGAAGGTCGGAGGAAAAATCTCCACCTCTGTCGGAGTGCAGAGGCAGAACAGGAAGGTCCAAGCCGAAACGCTCGCTTAGCTGGCGAGGGGCTACGCGGATCAAGTCGATCAGCACCTCAGTAACCTCACCCTTGCGGCGCAAGGGGAAGAGTGTGGTGTAACGTGAGTAGTAATCAACGACTAGCAGAAAGTACCGCCTGTGACCCTGTCCACAGACGCGAGCTGGGCCCCACACGTCCATGTGAAGAGTCTGCAGGGGAGCCTCCGTCGGAGTGAACTCGAAGGAGTGAGAAGCGGCGCGCTGCCGCCCTTCAACGCAAGGAACGCAGGTAGGGGCAGGCCCCGGGGGAAGGGGAGGGAGAGATCGGGGAAGACCAGTGACAAGGCCACGGGAGGCCATGCCTCTGAGACGAGGCAGGGAGGGGCGACCAAGGCGGTGGTGCCAGAGGAAATTTTGGTGAGACAGGAGGCGACACGAGTAGGGGGCAGACTCAGGACCAGACCTGGACACAGCAGCAAACACCAGACCCGACGCAGCGACCTGACCAGACTCAGCAACCAGAGGAGTCACAGTATTCAGTGTGTACAAGCTTGACCCAGGTTGCCGGGTGAACGTGGCAAGGTGTCGGCCCGTCCGTGTGCACGTACAGTGGGTCACCCTCTGACCTCCAGAAGTGAACTGGTCAACCCACACGTCTTGAAGGTCAGCCCCACTCACCAAGTTCGTAGAGAACGAGGGGAGGTGAAGACCCGACAGTGAGCCAGACGGGACCGCCGGAGACAGCAGAACCGTAGAGGAGTGCGCAAGGACTGGACCCCCAGAGGGGTCAGCCAAGGAGACAGCAACCGACCGACTGAGCGGCGTGAGTGTGGTGCAGTCGCGAAAGAAGGAGCGGGAAGCTCCTGAGTCAAGCGTGAAGGTGTGCAAGGCCGCAGCAGGTGCAGTACCAGAAAGGGCAGACTCACCAGCACCTGGAGCAGTGGACTCACTAGCGCCTAGAGCAGCAGCCTCACCGGCACCTGGAGCAGGAGACGCACCAGTACTTAGAGCAGCAGCCTCACCAGCACCTAGAGCAGCAGACTCTATACCTGGGTCAGGCGGCACACACAGGAAATAGGCACCCTCAGCACTAGTAGGCAATGCATACATGGCAGTGAGGATAGCATCATAGTCAAGAGCAAAGATATCTACCCTCTGCCTAAGCAGCTCTAGCCAGAAGGGGAGCTCAGCGTCGTCGCCAAACTCTGTACGCCAGGCGTCGCTCAGACACGAGAAGCAGCGGGACTCTGTGTGACCAATTGTCCCGCAAGGCTGACCAGCCCGAGCACCTGTGCGAATGATGTACGGGCAACGAACAGTACTCCGTGACGCTCTACTCTGAGCGTACCATTCACGAAGCTGCTGGGGCGAAAGGATCTCGCGCGGACGCCACTGTAGCTACACCTGGCCACTACAAGAAGTTCCCGAACGACCCGCTCCAGAGCAACTCCCACCACAGCCACCCCTACAACCCCAACTAGCGTACCACTCGCGAAGCTGCTGGGGCGGAAGAGTCTCGCGCGGACGTGGCTGCAGCTGCAGCTGGCCACTGCCAGAAGCTCGCGAACGACCCGCTCGAGGGCGACTCCCACTACGGTCACCCCTACAACCCCAACTAGCGTACCACTCACGAAGCTGTTGAGGCGTGAGGGACTCACGCGGACGTCGCTTGAGCTGCATCTGGCCACCGCTAGTAGCAGTTGGAGTGGCAGTGCAGCAGTAGTAGCCGTGACAGCAGGAACAGCAGTAGCAGCAGGGCAGAGCAGCGTGGCTCAGTAGGGCAGGGCGGCGCGGCTTGGCCGAGCGGCGCGGCTCGGCTGGGCGGCGTGGCTCGGTTGGCAGGCAGACGCGGTACGCGCGGCAGCACGCTGGTAAGGCAGGCGCACGGGCAGTGCGGGTAGGGCAGGTGCTCACCAGAGGCGGGTAGGGCAGATGCCACCGGCGGCGGTGGGCAGGCGCTCAACGTGTGGCTGCAGGCGCTCGACGGGCGGCTACAGCGGGGCCGCGACAGCGGCTACGACGGGGCTATGACGGCGGCTGCAGGCACGACGGCGGCTACGGCGGGGCAGGCCCGCGACGGCGGCAACGGCGGGGCCGCGACGGCGGCTGCAAACGTGACAGCGGTAGGGCAGGGCAGGGGCGGCCGCCCCAAGGGCGGGCGGTGGCAGGGGCAGGGCGCGGGCGGGCCGCAGATGAGGCAGGGCGCGGCGGCCAAGGGGGGGGGGGGGGGGGGGGGGGGGGGGGGGGGGGGGGGGGGGGGGGGGGGGGGAGGTGAGGGGGCGTCGCGACGAGCAGGGACGGCGCCCAAGGGGCGCCGCGACGAGCAGGGGCGACGCCGCGCGGGTCCCGCAGGGGCGTCGCGACGAGTAGGAGCGGCGCCTCACGGGTTCCGCAGGGGCGTCGCGACGAGCAGGGGCGACGCCCGGGTCCCGCAGGGGCGTCGCGACGAGTAGGAGCGGCGCCGCGCGGGTCCTGCAGGGGCGTCGTGACGAGGAGGGGCGACGCTCGGGTCCCGCAGGGGCGTCGTGACGAGGAGGGGCGACGCTCGGGTCCCGCAGGGGCGTCGCGGGGTCCAGGGGCGGTGTCGCCGGGTCTAGGGGCAGCGCCGCTGGGTCCAGGGGCAGCTTCGCGGGTGCAGGGCAGGCCCGCGCGCGGCCTGCAGGGCAGGGCGACGAGGGCGTGGGTAGGGCAGGCGCTCGAGGGCGCAGGCAGGGTATGCGCTTGAGGGCGCGGGTAGGCAGGCGTCCAGGGGCGGCTTCACAGGTGCACGGCAGGCCCGCGCGCGGCCTGCAGGGCGGCGCTCGAGGGCGCGGGTAGGGCAGGCGCTCGAGGGCGCGGGTAGGGTAGGCGCTCGAGGGCGCAGGCAGGGCAGGCGCTCATGGGCGCGGGTAGGCAGGCGCAAGGTGCGTGACGGGGCAGGCAGGCACGGCAGTGCGCGTCGGGCAGGGCAGAAAAAAAAAGTTCGTGGTGGGCCCTAAAAAAAACGTTCCCCCTAGGGAACCTGCTCTGCTCTGTAACCATGTTAAATTTAGAACAAAGAATGACTAGAATTCGAACAGTACAAAGTTTGTATAGGCAAAACTTAACAGTGCTGTACCCCATAAGGAGTGCCCCACTATAGCCTAGAGTATAGTTCTGACACATGGTTTGGTGAAACAGTGCGCGCGAAGTTGGGGAAGCCCCGTTAGCAGTAACGGGTGAACAACGGTTGATGCTCTATGCGATGTTGTAGGTCGTGGTAAGGAATGTCGAGAAAATTCCTTAGGGCGGGTCACGTTTAGATGAACCTGACACGTTTAATGCGGTTCGGTGCTCTAGAGAGGGGTTGAAGACGATTCTGTATTTCCACCAAAGCTAACCGTATTTAATCGCTTTTTGACGTACTTGAACGCATTAAACGTACTAGGTTCTTTTAAACGTGACCCTCCCTTTACATCGACCTTTACAGCTCATAAGTACATGTTGTGAACGCCTGACAACGCGTATACTGTACTGGCTTGTGAAAGTGTCCACCTCGCGGGGACATTTCCATCGCACACGGCGATCTTTCAGATCTGCGATCCACAAGGCGGCGATGCCGCGCTGGCGTCACACATTTCTCCCGCGCATCCCGAATCGCCATCGCGTGGTTGGCGATCACCCGCCACACTGAGAAGAACCCCGTTGAGCCGAGCCTCCCGCCGCCGTGCTGCCCAAACCCTTTGGCCCACCACCAATCGGCTCGCCTCACCGCCACTGCGGTGATCCTGGAGTGTTGGAATCAAAAAATTCGGGCATACGTTTAGAAGAGATCCATTTTGATGACAAGCGGAGTCAATACACGAGGTTGTGACTTTCTGCATTCCGCGTGTGTTGGTAGTATACTGGATCGGGAAGCTTGGGAAGGTCGCTTGTGTGATCATTGACCAATTAGTGGTCACTGTCAGTCAGTACTAGCTACTAGCTTCCAAGGTTTGAATCCGATAGATTGGCTCATCCTTTATACCTCGAGGTCAATACGTATCCCAGTTGTCCACATTCCCCTGTTCTTGGGTCGAGTTCAATGGGCATCCCTGTGCCTCAGCGATCCGACGAGATGGCAACGATGCCACCAGCGATCGCACCAACTCCACCTGCGCCTGCACCGTCCTCGCCGCACGACGGGCCTGCCGCCATGGGCGCTCTCGGCCTGCTTCGCCTCTTCTCCATCTGGCCGCCACCGCCGAAGGCGGCCCCCGCGTGCCCGTCCCAAGAGCGGCACGACGCGTCGTCCCACCCCATGCATGCTGGCTCTCCAGGGTCGGAAGGTGCGGCGGCGGAAGCGAGGGAAGCCATGGAAGCCGCCACGTCACTCGGAAGTAGGGAGGAGATGGGGCAAGGCAATTCGGGTGCCGTGGCGTGCACAGCGATGGCCACAGACGACAGTGCGGCCGCAGAGCCAGCAGCGCTCGGAGAACAATCGCTCGAGCAGCAGCCCGTGCAATCGCCGTCGCACGGCAGCGCGACTAGTTGCGCAGATCCGGGCGCGTGTGCGCCACTGGAGCGCCCCTTCTCCCCCACGTGCGTGCTCGACCCGCCCGACTGGGCGACCGTGGCGGGCCTCGACAGCCTGCAGCTGCCGGCGCTGCAGCGACTCGCGTCGCACGGCGTCATTTGGAAGGACCCTGCGACGGGGGCCCTGCGACGCTTCACGCTACACTACGGCGGCGAGGTGGACGCGGACGGCAACTGCCTCTTCGCCGCGCTCAACCGCCTCGTACCGCATCACGACGGCACGGCGGGCCTGCGGCGGAGAGCGGTGCGACGGTTTATGAAGGAGTACGAGGCGGGCGTGGTGGAGCGCGCGCGCGTGGACGCGGCGGTGCGGCACCTGTACGCGCCGGACGTGGGCGTGGGGTGGGGCGTGCACGTGGTGCAGGAGGTGAAGCTGCTGGCGCCTCGCGCGCAGCGCGCCGAGCTCATGGCGGCCGTGGGGCAGCTCGTCGACTGCGGCATGTCAAGGTGCGCCCGCCGCGCCACGCGCTTCGCCGGATCGCGGAATTGCTATTCTAGAGAATTCCCTGAAATCCTCTTCCTTCCCCCCTCCCTCCCTTCCCGCATTCGCCCCACTCGTGCGCGCCCACCCTCTTTCTCCCCCGCCCCCCGCAGGGACCATGCGGTGGAGATGGTCGCGAGGGACCGCTGCCTGCCCGTCGACAGCGCGCGCCGCTGGGCGCACTACATGTCGCTCGGCGCGCCGCTGCTGCCCGCCGGCGCAGCGGACTCCTCGGGGGAGTGCGCGGGGGTGGCGGAGTGGGAGACGGAACGCGAGGCGGCGGGCGGGCACGACGTGGTGTCGCTGCAGTACGCGCAGGACGGCCTGCTCTCCGCCTCCGCCTCCTGGGACTTTTCGCTGTCCGCGCAGAGCGCGGAGCGGGTTGCGGGTTCGGGGGAAACGGCGGCGGGCGGGTGTGGCGGCATGGCGGCGTTCGGCGACGACATGGCGATCGAGATGCTGGCCACGGAGCTCGCCCGCGAGATCATCGTCGTAAGCCGCGCCGCTGCCCCGCTTCCCCACTGCTCCCGCTGCCCCACTGCTCCCGCTGCCCCACTGCTCCCGCTGTTAATGAGCGAGTTACGCGCGTACCCGCGTTTCCATCAGTGCCGTTTGTCGTCGTCATCAGCAAGTCCCGTACCCTCAACCCCCCCGTCCCGCCCGCTCCCTTCCCCCGTGCGCGCGCGCAGGTGCAGGCGCACGGGCACGACGCGATGGTGGATGAGCAGTCGGCGCTCTTCTTCCTGCCGCACGCCCCCAGGGGCGCGCCACTCTCCGTCGCGCACCCGCCGCTCTTCCTGCTCATGAAAGGCACAGGTGCGCGCACACGGGCCACGCGCGGGGTGACAGGTGAAGGGGTGACAGGCGGGGTGGGGTGACGTGCAGGGTGCATGGGTGATTAAGGCATGCAACGGGGGTTTGCGAGGGTAACGACTTGTGCCATGGCAAGAGGGCTTCAGTGCAGTGCACAGGGATGGGGGCGTACCTGCCACCGCGCACCCCCTTGCTGCCATTCTCTCTACCTCAATTTCCTGCTCTCTCCCTGCCCCCACCCCACGCCTTCTCCCCCCTACCCCTTCAACCTGTGCTCACCCGTGCAGCATGGTGCGGGGCAGGTGGCGACCACTACGAGGCCATGGTGGCCGTGGACCAGGGCGAGGTGCCCGCGGGGGAAGCACAGGGGCCGTGCGGTGCGGTTGTGCTGTGATGGGTGTGTGGTGTGGCGCTGCTGCACAGATGCGCACATGAGGTTAGAGGCCCACGCAGGGGTGTGGTGTGGTGTGGTGTCACAATGCTGGTGAAGCAGGGGCGGCACATTGCTCTAGTGCTGCCACCAAGGCTGCTTCACCCTTGATTTTGTAGGTAACCTGTTTGATTATTCTGCCACAGCCGAAGGCTGCTCTAGTGGTCTCTTAGGCATGTAGCCTTGCGCTACGCTTCCTTGCGCCCCATTCTCGCAAGATCCTTGTGAAAGAGTGGTTGGATGCATGGTGTGGTGTGGGGAGTGTCGGCACGTTGCTCTAGTGCTGCCTCCTTGACTGGTTTTGTAGGGACGACATTTGACTTGCTGCCACAGCCGAAGGCTGTTGGCCTCAGTGCTTGCTTAGGCCTGGGTTGTGCTATACTTATGAAGAATAAATAACGCAATGTTTTCAGGTTGCCAGCATGAGCACCTGCAGCACAAGCAATGCTGGCACCCACCCACCCAAACCACAAGCAGTGGAACAATTACACAATTATACAGGTCCCCCCTACTAACCCACCCTTGCTCCAATCCAATGTCCCAGCCAGCATTCCCTGTAAACAAAACAGTTAGCCCCACAAGCAGCCCACCCTAGTACCACCCGCCACCACCCTGCAGCGACAGCCACCCACGCCCGAGCGAGTCAAGGAAGCTAAAACGCGGGAACTGTGGGCGGCCCATGCGGTGTGAGAAGAAGAACCACCCGGCGCGTGCACGTGCATACGCCGCCAGCTGTGCGGACGCCAGACCCGCCATGCCCGCATCGTCCACACTGTCATGCCCCTCCACCGCCAGCGACCACTCGCCCACCATCGCCACACGCTCGCTCCCTGCCGGCTGCAGCAGCCCCAGTTCCTTCACGCGCGTCGTCAGCACAAAGCTCAGCACCGCCGACAGGTTGCCTGAAGCAGCGCCGGCGCCGCCCCAAGCGTCCCCCGTGGCGGCCGTGTTGGCAGCAGGGTCGATAGCAGCGGGATCCGTGGCGGCTGCAGCGTGAGTGGCGGTGGACTTGGGGGCGTCATGGAAGATGTTGTAGAAGTGCTCGTCGTGGATGACGTTGGTGAACTGCGCCTCGTCCGCCAGGAAGTCCAGCACCTCCGTCGCCTCCGCGCCCACACGCGCGCTGATCGCCACGTACGCGCACTGCGAGTGCACGCGCACCGCCGCGTACGCGCGCTCGTAGTAGTTCCCTAGAGTCTCCGCGGAGATGGCCTCTTCCAGCGGCTCGTTGAGCAGCGCGATGCCGGCGAAGGCGTCGTTGGTGGCGTAGCGCTGGGCGAACCAGTCAATGGCCTCCACCGTGCGGTCTATGTTCACCTGTGATGCTGCCCAGTCCGGGATGCCGTCCCGCGACGCTGAGTGCTCGTACCCGTTCTGCGACCCCGGTGCCGCGTGCAAGGAGAGCATGACTCGCATGCCGTACCTGACAGGCACGACAAGGTGGGAGATTGAGAGAGGGTCGGGGTGAGATACATAATAGATAGGGTGAAAGTTGAGGCGCAAGGCGAGGCAGTTTGTGCAATGAGCATGAGAAGGATGGGAGAAGAGGAAGGCTATGGAAAATAGAGAGTGGGTGGAGTGCGAGCAGAGCAAAACACGTGCGTTGTAGTCGCCTCGCCCAGCACTAGTCCTTAACAACCACTCAGCTCAACAACACGCGAGCACCTGCAATCAACAGCTACACCATCGCACACCCAACTAGCATGCCATTGCCACTAGCCCCCAACATGGCACTCACTTGGCGGCCATGTCAAAGGCCCAGTCAAGGTACTTGAGCCCGCCCTTGCTGAACGGGTACAGCGGGCCCCCCGCGCCCACATCCCCCTCCGCCTTGCCCTCCTCCGCAATCCAGTACCCCACGGGCACGCGCACGGCGTTCACCCCCGCCTGCTGCAGCGCACCAAAGTGCTCCTCCGTCACCCACGTGCTGCGGTGCTGCTCCAGGCGCTTCTCCACCTCGTCCGGCCCCCAGTGCCGCCCCATCTGCCACTCGCCGCGCACCGCCGTGTTGTGCACGAGCAGGAACGCCACACCCGTGGTCCACGCCCAGCTGCCCACCGCCGTGTTCACCTGCTCCGCCGGCACGGACGCCGTCACGCTGCCGTCGTCGTTCACGGAGAGGAACCGCCCGTTGGGCGCCTGGATCATCACCCACCGCGCCTCCGCACCGTGGAACACAAACCGAAACGTCTCCAGGCCCTCGCCACCTGGGTTCGCCACGTCGCTGCGCACCTCCGCCATGCCCCCACCGCCTCCCGCTGGTGCTGCTGGGGCGCCAGAGCCTGCAGCAGCGGAGGCGTTGGCGGGCGGGGAGGAGGAGTTGTGCAGCGACCAGAAGGAGAAGTCGAGCGAGCGCACCTCGTGCAGGTGGCGGTCCTCCAGCGTGAGCGTGCGCATGTGGAACGACGCCCAGTCGCCCGCCTGCATTCCCTTGGCCACCAGCCGGAACCCATTCGCCGGGTCTACATGCAGGAAGCTCCCCGTGTAGAGCGACTGCAGGGAGAACTGCAGCCCGTCGATGTACACGGGCACGCGGCGGAACAGGTCCGGGCGCAGCCAGCCCTCCAGCACCAGCCACCCCGGGAGGCCCACGCCGCGGAAGGCGGGCAGCTGCATGGCCTCGCGCACAGCGAATGCCTCGGCCACATCGCGGTTGCGCGAGCGCATGAGGATGCCCGACTCCTCCACCACCATGAACGACCCGTCGCTGCACTGTATGCGCGCCTTCTGCGGTATGCCCTCCACCTGTCGTATGACCGTGCACGCATTGGATGCGCCATGTGCATGCGGCACGGTAGGGAGGGTGACAGGGAACGGGTCGGTGGACATGGGAGGCGGCGGGGCAGGGCTTGATGTGGTAACGCCAAAAGACGTGCTTGTCGACAGCAGAGACCATTCACTCAACGCCACCTCTACTACCCCACTCCCTCCCACCCTCCCTCTCTCTCCCACATTCTCCCCCCTGCGAATGAGACCAATCATGAGCCCACCCACGCACCACTTCGATGGAGAGCAGCGAGGCGGGGGTGGCGGAGGCGTCGAGCCCCGTGACAGTGAGCTCGCGCGCGCACGTCAGGTACGTGCCCTGGGGCGTGCGCAGGCGCACCGCCCCGCTGCCGTGGCCCTGCGTGTCGTCGCGCTCCACGGTGTAGAACTCGGACGCGGGCGCGCCCTCGTGATACGCGCCAGGCTCCGCCCACCGCCCCGCTGGCAGGCGCGGCCCCACCCACAGCCCGTTGGACGCCTGCAACTGCACCTGCGCTCCGTGCTGCCGTGGGAGGACAGGGCAGCGCGGCACCATGGGCAGGAAGGGCGTGTGCGCCGTAAGGCGCGGGGGGGAGGAGGACGCGGGTATGAGAGTGAGAGAGGCCATGAGCCCCAGATTCCAGAGGCGACAGGGTAGCTCTGAAACGCCCTGGGTGCGAGTGACGCGCCTAGATAACCACTCGCACATGAGCTACGAGCTCACGTGGCTCCTCCCACGTTGTTTGTCCCCGCCCAGGTTCCGCCACTCACTCATCTGCACACCCATCTGTAGGAGGCACGACCTGTGCTTGCAGCGCCTGTGCTGTGGCCCATCCGCCCCCCATGCTCCCCCCACTTACTTGCCTGGCGCGCGCCACCCTCCCTATGCTCAACACAACAACCACCCACACACACACTTCAAAACGAAGGGGGGCCACGGATTGGGAGGGAGCGGGGGGGGAGAAGGGGAAGGGAGTGGGGCGGGCGTACGTGGAGCGCGGCGGACCACCAGACGGAGGGCATGGTGGCGGTGCTGCCCGCCACGGCAGGCGCGCGCGAGCTGCAGCACGGGCCCGCGCACGCGCCCTCTTCCCCCCCGCCTGCCCCCCCTGACCCGTCTGTGCTTGCCTGCTCCCCCCCGCCTCCCTCCCCCTCTGCGGCGTCGCCCCCCTGCCCGCTGCTCTGCTCCCCCCACTGTGACTGCGCGGGGGGCGCGGGAGCCGCCTGCGACACTGCCGGGTCCATGGGCGGAGGCGCGGACCTGACGGGGGAAGAGGGGAGGGAGGAAGGGGAGAGGATGGGAAAGAGGGCGTGGGGCGGCGGCAGCAAGTTCAGTGCAGTGCAATGTGTGTGCAGGGCAATGCAGCGCGCGGGCGCGCTATATGTTTGGGACGACGCGGTGCAGGGAAGGGGATGACATCCGTCGGACCACATGCATGGCGCGGCTTACGCACGCACTTGTTCATGGCGCCCGAGAGCCAGAGCACGAGCAGCAGCGAGCTGGACACGAGCAGCCCCACCAGCGCGCACGCCAGCACCACGCGCTCGCACGTCCAGAAGTGCTTGCCGCCGCGCATCGAGTAGTCGCGCAGCGTGCCGCCGTGCGACGGGCTGGGCTCGCCCACGGTGCCCGCGATGGGCATCGTCTCCTCCTCGCCCACCATCGACGACGACATTCCGCCCCCCCCGCCGCTCCCCCCGCCGAACAGCAGCCCGTTCAGGCGCGAGCTCGCGGGGCCGGTCAGCGAGTTGCCGAAGGCGGAGCCCTCCCCCCCCAGGCTGCCCGCGCTGCTGCCCGCGTCGCTCTCCACGCCGGAGATGCCGACCGCGCCGTGGCCCGGGCGGCCGAACCACACGGTCTTGCGGTCGCGCTCCTGGAAGCTTCCCGTGGAGCTGCTGCTGCCCGCGCGGCGCTTGGGCGGAATGCCGATGAGCAGCTCCGCCGCCGCCTCGTCGCCGCCCGCGGAGAAGCGCGACGAGCCGCCGCCGAAGGCGCCCGGGGAGGCGGAGGACGCGGCCGTCATGAGCGGCGACTGCTGCTGCAGCTCGTCCGTGTACGAGCGCGAAACGCCCCCCGCCGTGCGCCGCGGCGTGGAACGCGCGGACCCGCCCGACGGCATGCTGGGGAGGGCTCGGCGCGCTGCGCGGGGAGATTTGGGGGGACCGGGACGTTAATGTTGGGGCAGATAGACGACGGAATGATCTCGGGAGTGCCACGTAAGCTGTCGAATTGAGGTGCCTACTAGAGCGAGGTCGTTGTGCGGTGGAGTGTGGATGTGAACGAAATGAAACAGTGTCGAACGTGGGGGTTGTTGGCTATAGGGCTGTGAAGTGAAAATCGGATGCAAGGCGTACGCGCTCTAAAGCTGGTGTCCTTTTCCTTTTGTGCAAGTTTCTCCCTGAATGGGTGCATATATTTGTGTTATAATCAACAAGAAAAGTGACGTTGGTACCACTCGTTTACCAAGCTGAACTCACCCTTCGAGAAACATTTTGTACTGCATCTATTTATTCGTCAAACCCTTCCCTGAATTTAACATGCAAAAACATTGCTGGGCAGCCAAAAAAATAGATGCATGTCCATCGTATCGTCACACACACGTCCGACTTGCACTCACACCACACCTACGGTCCTCCTCCTGTCCATCCCTTCCCCCACCCCTGGTTGCTACTGGCAATTGGCCTCTTAAGAACTCAGGCAGCCATAGGAGTGAGTTGGTACATGGACTCCCTGCCTTGATACATCGAGTCCGACTTCAGAGAGGATATCTCAGCCGCTGCACTGCTCCCCCACGCCCCTCCTCCACCATCACAGCTCCCCGCCGACGCACCGACCTCGACCCCCGCACGCGCCTCACAGGCGGGCTGCTGCCACTCGCCAGTGCCAGCGAAGCGCAGCCCGTACACCACACTGGAGGCAGCGCCGGCCGCGGTGGTGCCTGGCGTGTCGGGGGCTGGGATGATGATGTCAATGGACTCTATGGGGCGCCGGTCCAGCTCCATGTCCCGACACAGGCTCTCCACACCTGCCACACACACGGAGGGACACGGATGGGTGGGATTTTATCAGTGTGTGTGCCTCTTGGGTTGGGAGTGCACCATTGACAAGTCCAGCAATGGAGAAAGCTACGTGGTTTGCAAGGAATCCTGAGAAAGTCTGCTTGTGTGGCAGGTGGCGTCACATCAAGGAACGTACCCTGCCAGTTGAGGCATGCACTCGGTGGCTCGCCTGCCGTGCTGTCCTCCTCATTGCCCTCCCCGTCTGACAGTGCGTGCTCCGCGCTGTGAGACCCCCCGTGTGACCCGCTGGACGCCACAGACGAGCCACTGCGCGCATCCCCTTGCGCAGCACCGCCCATGGGAGGCGTGTTGGCAGAGGGCGCAGCCGGGGCTGTGAGTCGGTCCCACACGCGTGGCTTGGCGTCGGTGGTGGCGTCGAAGGCTGGAGGGGCAGCAGAAGCAGGCTCGCCCATTGCAGGAGGTGCGGGCGATGGTTGCGTGAGCTGCTGCAGCGACTGCAGCTTCTGCAGCAGCGACGGCGGCAGGTTGCGACCGGCTGCGAGGGACGAAGCAAGGGAGGGCGGCACAGGGTGGGTAATGGGGGCGGGAAGAGGTGCGAGGAGGGAGAAGACGGGAAGAGTGGGATTATGTGCAGAAGTGCGACAGGGAAGAGACGGCTGAGCGTACGGATGCGAGAGGCGGCAATCAGCAAGTAAGCTCATTTCATGGATTGAAGCCTGCGAAAGGGAGTCACGTAGGCCTGCTCTCCTCTTGTAACTTCCCACACAACAAGTACTCACCTGCCGGTAACCGCAGCGCGGAAGGCCCTCGTTGCGCCATAGGCTGCGCCCCTCCCCCGCGAGCCGTCAAACCCACTCGCCCGTACGCCACGGGCCCCGACCGCGCGATCGGCGCCGACAGGAAATCCGCGTCGCACACCCCGCCGTCGTCGTCCGTGGAGGTGGCGTCGGGCGACATGGAGCTAGACGACTCTCCGCCCGTCGCACGCGCGAACCCTGTGACGCTTGAAGCGGCGGTCCCGCTGCTGCTGCTGGGCCGGCGCAAAGCCAACACGTTCCGCGGGAGCGCCGCGGATTGCGGGAGCGCCGCGGATTGCGGGACCACCGCGGATGGGTACAGGCGCTGAAGCGGGTTAGGCTGTTGCCGTAGGTGCGGCAGCTGCTGCTGTAGCGGCGGTTTCGCCGCCTGCTCTCTGCCCATCGTACCCGATATAAGCCCAGCTTGCATCTCAAATTGCTCCATGGATCGCTGGCCGCCGCTCGAAGAGGCTCGGCGGGAGCCGACGAAACTGCTGCTGCCTTTGCTGCTGCTGATGGACGGAAACAGCGGCACGTTACCCGCGTTGCTTGCGCCATCCGACGGGTTCCACGCCTTGTTTCCGCTGCTGTTGCTCCGATTCAGTGCGCGCGCCTCCGCCGCACTGACACCGCCCATCGCCCCGTACTCGGGGAACGCTCCCCATTCGGCGGCGGGGGCCCCTTGGGCAAGCGGAGCGGCAGAGGCAGCGACTCGGGGGGGCGGGGCAAACGGCATGGAGTGGGTGAACAGCGCGGGGAGCTCGCCCGCATTCCATGCCGCCGCGCCCACCGGCCAAAGCGACTCTTCCGCCGCAGCTCCGCCGAGCCCCTCGTTGGCGGCATGCGAGTTGCGGCTCCCTCCCGAACCTGGACGACTGCCGCCGACGCCGCTAGTGATTCCGCGCATCATGGCGCGCCTCTCCGCATTGGCTGCGCCGTCAGTCTTGGCGCGCAGCAGCTCCCCGCCCAGCCAGTCGTCGTCCTCCGGCGTCTCCTCCAGCATGGCAAGGCGCGACAGCTCCTCCCGCATCCGCTCGCCCGCACTCCTCTCCGCCTGCGCCGCGCCCGGACTTCTTCCCGAGCCGCCCAGAAACTGGTTGACGTCAGGGCCTCCCAGGCGCTGCGAGATTGCGGCATTGGGCGTGTCGCGGAACGTCGTAGAGCCGTCCGTGCTCGCGCGGCGGTACTGCTCGGAGGGCGCGGCCGACGGTGGCGACGTGTTGAAATCCAGCTTGATGTCGCCGTCGCTGATGCCGCCCGCGCTAGGCCTCGACGGCACCGCTGACGACGTGGCTGCCGATGGCCTGCCCCCGCCTTCCGGGGCGTGGTTCGCGGAGGCTGTTGTGTTGTCGCTTCGGCTGCGCGAAAAGGGAGCGCCTGAGAAGAAGAGGCGTGTTCTGCTGGAGCGCCCTCGCGCGGTGTTGGGCGACGGGGGGGACATTATGCGGAATGTGCTGTACACGTGATGTGCGTCGTGGTATGTTCGACGCAGAATCTCAAAATCTCGGAAGGTGTACGCAGGGTAGATGGTGCACTCGATAGCTTCTCTCCACGAAAAGAGCAGACACAGGAACGTGGTTGTAGAATGAGCCGGGATAGAGGCGGAGTAAAGTGGTGTCGCTTCTGGACAAGGACAGAAAACGTACACCACCAGCTGAAAGGAACGCCACCAATAGCGCACTGCAAGTTTCTTGAAACGAATGGAGAGGTGGAATCACAAGAGACACAAGGGTTCAAGATGTGGATGTGGTTTGTGGCTTGGGAAAATGGAGCAGCAGCAAAATACACGGGGAATGTGATGGCGTTGGATAGAGGGACCAGAAAAAACAGCGAGAACACGGGGGGCAGTCGCGGTGCGGTAACCGAAAAAAAAACGCCGCGTTTCGTAGGACGCATCACAATGGCAACACCGATCCCCTAGGGGATCGATGTTTGGGGTGTACAGTACTTCGTAAACCTCCGTATCCTTTTTCCGCAAAGTTTCGCTAAGACTCGAGTCACGTCACCAAGGGAGATGTCTCTTCCAGATCGATCTGTCACCGTACTCAAATCAAGCGTAATCATTTACAGATTTCCCAAAAAGTTTCGAACCCCGCAAAATCAGCATCGTGAGGACGATCGCGACACAGGTGGCAGGAGATTGATGTTCACATGTCAGTGTGCGACCTTGATCCTCGCCGGTGTTGCAATTGTGACGCATCCTTATGGTTTCCACTCACTGAATGCGGCGCCACTGAGCCAGTGTGGGGGGCGGGACGCCAAACCAAACATGAGAGAAACTCGAGGGACACGCCAAGCCACACAACTTGATGGATGAGGAACAAGACAGCTGCTGCATAGTTCCGCCAGACTAAGTTTTTGGTTTGACATGGGTGCAGAAGTTTATTTTCCATTCCCTATCACTTCAATCACACGCCTGAATCTTGAAGTACAGCACTGGTGTTCATCAATCTACAGAGCTATAATGGGATCTGTTGTAATATTCATTACATGGTAGGGTGCGTTTCGATCCCGTATCAGACATCAGGTCAAAGCTTCGGAAGACACAAAGTGACTCGGTTTGTGTCTTCCGAACCTAAATTTGCCAGCATTCCGAGTCCCTTTGGGTCTTCCCAACCTCAACTTCGTGTCTGACACGGGATAGAAAATAACCATAAGCATTCTAGTATTCATTACAGGGTAAGCATTCAACGAAAAGCACCTTACTACCCGATAAAACACACTGGACCGCGGACAGTACATCGCAACAAGGGATTTCCAGCTGTGGCAGTTGCATAGGTCGATGGGTTCCAGACGTGTCCCAGAAGCAGAATTCAATGTTTTTGGATGTGCACATATGCCGTCATCCCAACAGAAGATTCAACATGCTTCTGTGCCTACCTCAGTTCCAAATGTGGCGAAGCTTGAGATGTTCGCAATCAGATGACTGTCTCTGAAAAATCAACAACATTTTCCAAATCAACTCCCGTAACGAGTAAATGGCGAGGCAACGCCATCTTGCTTCCTGCCCAAATCCACATGATCTCTGGTCCCAATCAGCGATGGGCACGCACCCCAACCAGAATGGTTGTCAGCCACAAGAATGGAAAACCTACAGTACAGATCTCACCATCTCCAACCAAGAGCACTCGAGCATGTCGTTTTGTAACGACTCTCACGTGCTTTGTGATGCGAAAGAATTTCAGAACAGACACAATCTCCAGCTTGTCGTTCACTTCCAAACCAAAATACGAGGCTCGGTACAGGTAGGGGTCACGAGTCTTGCCACACAGACAGCAGAGCAGCTTGGAGACCGAGGTTCAGACCCTGCATTCCCGGCAGCTCAGTTGTACGCAATGTAGTACAGGCCCAGCAAGAAATTTGAGGTTCCTTAATAATACACCCACTACTAAGGGAGGTGATCCCACATCAGGCATGCAATTGCATGAGGAACAATCCCAAAGAACATAACATGATTGAAGCATGTCCAAAGTGACACGGGCCATCTTTACTTGTAGGTTCAGTGCACAGAATGGGAACATTCACATTGTTGGGCTGAGAAGGCCCTTAAGGATCTTTGCAGAGGATAACTCTGGGTAGGAAACTTGTAATAGCGGAAGCGTTTAATGAAACTTGTGAACCGACCTTGCACTAGTGTGTGAGAGCAAAGTAGATTAAATTAAACAAGCAAATACAAGGTTTTATATAAGGGTACAGGGAATACGAATAGATAGATAACTGTATTGCTGTTGCGATTCGATACAGTGCGACTCGGGCAACTGCTCTGTAACGAGTCAGTTGTGTGTCCTTAACTGTCGCGCTGTAATTGTCGAGTCAAAGGTCGCTGACCTTTGACTTTCTCGTAACCTCCAGGCAGTTACCCTAACCTCCGAGGTTTGACTCGATGCTTCGATTCGGGCTGCTTCGCTAGTGTCTTGGGTTTTGACACGACAGAAGCGCACTAAGACTTATTGTTTCCAACACTCCCCTTCGCTTCTGGAGTGTCGCCGCAGGTGACGTGGCCTTGTCCAATCAGCATCATGCAGTATTCGAACTTCTGCTTTCCGAGCTTCTTGGTCAAGTAATCGGCTGCCATCTCAGATGTTGGACAGTATGACAGATCGAGTTTCCCCTTTTCGATCTCGTCCTTCACGAAGAAATAGCGCAGGGCGATGTGTTTCGTCCTGTTTGCGAAGCCGTTCTTGTTGGCGATGCGAATTGCTGACTGGTTGTCGCAGAATATGGTGAAGCTGGGTAACTCGGCTAGCTTCGCTTCTTCCAGTAGTTAGCGAAGGTAAAGTCCCTCCTTGGTGGCTGAGCAGAGTGCAATATATTCCGCTTCAGCTGAAGACAGTGCGATTAACTCCTGCTTACTCGACTGCCAGGAGATAGGACCGATAGGTTCGAGGCGGTAGACATAGCCGGTGCGTGAGCGTCTGTTATCGGTGTCGCCGGCGTGATCGGCGTCGACGTAGCCGATTAGCTTGGTCGGTGTAGTTGCGTTTTTGTGATAGGTTAATCCGATCGTCGCGGTGCTGACGAAATAGTGGAGAGCGCGATCGAGTTCCGCCAGATGCTCTGCTTCAGGCTTCTTGAGATAGGTGGCGAGCTGGCTCGCGGAGTAGGATAAGTCGGGACGGCATGTGACTGCTGCGAAGAGAAGACATCCCAGCTTCTTCTGATAGTCGCGTATGCTGGCGGGCTTGAGTAGAGTAGATCGTCCCTTTTCGGTTCCTGACGTGTAGCGGTAAGGCGTGGAGATGGCGCTTGGTGTGAGGCCGAAGCGTTTTGCGATGGTGTCGGCGTACTTCTCGGCGCTTAGATAGATTGCTTTTTCTTCCTCGCGGATGTTGAGCCCGAGGTACTGCGTAACGGTAGAAGAGACCGTAAGCGTGAGGTCTTTCTGAAGCTCCCCTTCGAACCACGTGGCGATGCCGTCAGTTGACCCAATGTAGAGGAGATCGTCCACGTAGACGATTAGGAGAACGTAGTCGCTTCCCCTTGTGAGGCGATACATGCCCTGGTCATGCGGGAGTTGTTTGAAACCGATGCGGATGAGGCGGGCGTGTAGGTACTGCTGCCACAGTCGCGGTGCCTGCTTGATCCCGTAGAGCGATTTAAGCAGTTGACAGACTCGGTTGGGTTCGCCGTGGGAGCCGTGCGGGAGCTCGACGAAGATTTCTGCATCTACAGGTGCGTAGAGGAATGCGTTTGCGACGTCGATTTGTCGCAATTTCTTTTTCTTCATGGCGGCGACGGCGATGAGGATTCGGAGTGAGGTGTGACGGCTGACCGGAGCGAAGGTTTCGGTGTAATCTCTTCCGTGCTCCTGGTCAAAGCCGCGTACGACCCAGCGAGCTTTGAATTTGTCGATGGTGCCGTCGGCTTTCGTCTTCACACGGAAGACCCACTTTCCGGTAAGGATAGTCTTGTTTTGTGCTACGCCGATGGGAACGATTTTCTAGGTGTTGCGCTCCTCCAGTGCCTTCAGTTCTTTGTCCATGGCTTCACGCCATTTCTCCCTGTGTTCCCCCCCCAGAGCCTGTTGAACCGTCGCAGGCTCCTTAGGAATGGCAGCGCCATGGAATGCGGTGACGAGACCAAGGATTTGCAGCCCAGTCTGTGAGTATCGGGGGAGTTCTGGATCCTCGGGATAAGCTGCTTCGTCTCCCGCTTCTGGGTCGGGTATGAAATTCGGCCCTACCCTTTCTGCTTCGTTGGTGTTGACTGTCGCAGGTGTTACGTAACCATTGTCGGCGAAATGGTAGAAGACTTCGGCGTTGTTACTGTCGCGAGGGTTATCCTCATCCATGGGCACGTTGACGGAGCAGTACGGAAGAGGTCCGGCTTCCTCCGATGCGTTGTCGACGTTCTGCTCATCCCAGTCTGCTTCATCCGCTGCTGACGCGAAGGCTCGGTCACCACGAAAACCACTGGTGAGGTCCCGATTCTCGTGCAAGTTGGCGAGGTACGTCTGAAGGGTGAGGCATTCGTAGAAGATCACATCTCGTGCTGCTACTGTTTCTTTTGTGTGGACGTCGAAGATTCTCCACGCGTTGTAATTTTTCTCGATGCCGAGGTGTAGTCCCCACTGTGCCCGTTGCGAAAATCTTCCCGCTCGTGCTTCTGGGGGTCTGTACTGTACCATGCACCCGAAGACTCGTAACATTTTTGTGCTGCCCTGCTTCCCTGTCCACAGCAGATGCGGTGATGCGTTGTTCGGGAGTGACGACGACGACAACAAGTTGTGCAGCATGACAGCATGGTCCATTGCTGCTGGCCACTGGTGGTTGGGTAGCCGCATGCCACGTAACAGTTTGCGCATGCTGTTCTGCAGAGTCCTGTTCATTCGTTCTGCGACACCTTGCTGCTGATGTGCGTAGGGAAGGGAGAGGAGTTGCTTGATCCCCCTTTCCGCCAAGAACTGCTTGAAGCACTGAGAGGTGTACTCGCCACCTCCGT